CATAATAAGCACAGATGGATACAGTCAATCCCAATAAGATTTAACGGTAAGACAAGAGAACAGTGGGTATCTATACCCACTAAACAACCTATCGCAAATAAAATAAAGATTATTCTTCACAGAAAGGAGATAAAGATAAGATGAAACGATGTTATCAGCTTTCCCTTAGATTATGAGGCCAGTCTAAGGAAAAGCACATTACAGTTTACTTAACTCCTCATGTTAGCTATATAAAGAGCTTCCAAGCTAATGCCTTCCAAGAGACAGAGCTCAGTATTAACTATAGTTTGAGGCCAGCAAACTCTACAGACAAACAACACTCATTACCAGAAACAAGCAGCAAAAAAAGACTAGAGGAAAAAACCAACCAACCAAACAAAAAGCAACCTGTATTTGAAATCAAGCAACAGCTACACACAGAAAAATTAGAAGCCTTTATCCAAAATACTTAAGGAACCAAAAGTTAAGATTGCCAATACAACTTCCCATGTTCAGTCAACAAGTGGTCAACAATTATAAAGCTTCTTAAAACTCCCTTAACTTTCATGCAAATTCCTAATATGCTCCTGTATTTCACCGTTAAGAAAACCAGGGTCAATTCTTACTCTATGAGTTCCATTTCAACAGTAGCTATCATTGCTGAAGGTATAAAACACTCATTCTTCCTATAAGATCTCTAAAGTTTCTAAAGTCTTTCATCCTTTGCCACATTAATAAAAATAAAAGATTGTACCAAGTCAATTCAAGGAGAAAGCAAATAAAAACACAAAACCCCGCAAAGATGGGCACCAGAATAGCTGATAACCACTTGTCCAATAACCAACTGGCTTGTGGAGAAAAAAATAGGTACTAAGACTCAGTGCCCTTACACAAAAAGGAATTTGAGGTGTTTTACTGCTCATCCTTTTACCCTTCTTCTAACTTAACTCTATGGCAACTTAATGAAAAAGTTGATCATTCCTGCTCTGCAACTCATTTCTTTTCCATGTTTCTATAAATATATAGTATAAAATGTAGTATTAGAACTCACCCCCCACTAACAGAGGAAGAGATATCTTCATGAACCAATTTCGACAGCAAATGAACAACTCAATATTAGCAATGAAAGACTGATGAGTGCTGTACTACCCAATCCTGAAGTTTGACCTTCTCTAAAACACTTTCATGATCCCTTTTTCATTCCTTTCCCTTCTATCATATGCATATTAGTGACCTACATACTATCTGCAATCCTTTTATTTTCAAGCAAAAGCTCATTTTAAGACTACAACTGGCTGCTGGCTATATTTTAGTTCTAGATGACAGAAGCAGCAAAACTACCTTCTGAAATTACTTTCAACTGAAAAAGAAAAGAGCCTATCAGTGAACAGATTGTAGTGCAGCTAGTTTCACAACTAAGTTCAGCAGTTTGTACCTTTAAAGAAACTAACATTTTTATATCATGACATAACCCCTTTTGCACTAATTGCATACTGGCATCAAAAGCTAACAGACCATTACCTTCTCATAGACAGACTGGAAAAGATCAATAACAAAAGAAAAAAAAAAAACATAGACAAAAACAGACCTGGACGAAAGCACAGGCAGCAAACGAAGTCAATACTCACAAGTAATATATAAAGAATCACTAAGTAATATGTAAGTAACAGTAAATACTGTCCACAATAGAAGAAAACTGAGGGCCAGATTGGAGACCTCTGGACTACACAGGAGAAAACTATTTTACCATAGCCACAAGAATCACAAATTTCCTAATAAGCTTTTCTTCATTCATTACTATTAAAAGAAAAGCAACTTCTTTAAGGGATAAATGTAAATAAGCTTCCAGTTTTCACCGGTCAAACAAATAACAAAGCATGTACCAGTCACCCTGTGTAACTGTGACATGGTGGATTTCTTTCGAGTTTATATCTGACAAGCACGTTGCCTTTCAAAATACCTAGCACATCTTTGATTCACAAGTTTAAATTATCACCCCACTGAAACGAGCAAATAAACCACTAATAAGCCAGCCAAATAAAAAAGAATGGTGCTCTTCAGCAGCAAGTGAAATCTAGTACGTAAGACATTTATTATGCAATCTTCCTAAAGAACACATGAACAGGACCACGCGACACCATTAACCAGTTCTATTAAAATAGGAGAAATAATCTTCACTTTAGAAAAACCACAGTTTTTCAATATAAAACATGTATCTAGTCCAGCCTTCGTAGATGAGGCCACGAAGAGCTACCGATACAACAAAACGAGAAATCAGACTCCCTCACCACAGCATTTATTACAGAACCTCAAATCCCAACAAGGAACGTAAGCACAGGGGGCAGGCAGGACATCCTACTGGCAGCTGAAGCAGCCTTACCAGGCAGTTTGAAAAGTCATAAAGATTATCCATCAACTCTGAGACTCATTCGCTTAGTGACAGACTGAAGAGCTGCTGGTACTCAGCAACTGCACTACAGGAACAAGCAGATAGGGTTAAAATATCTTCCTACCGAACACCTATGGGCAAAAAATGAGCAGGACTCGTGACTCAAAGCGTTAACTTCACAGGTACAGTTGGAGGAGCCGATCTCTGACATGACAAATACACTTCCCCTGCGCTCATCCCACCAAGTCTCAAGATGTGAAAAGACAGTCTCCAACGAGCGCCCAGCTTCCCACTGATCCATATTTAGGCAAAGCAAAGCAAAATCCTTGCCTAGATTTGTTTTATTATTTTCAAAAGATTTGTCAGAATGATCAAGATCTTTCAAGAGAGCTGAAGAATCATTACAGTTTCGCCTGAACAAAGTACTGAAGAGATGTCTGCTAATATTAGCATCATGTTAATATCAAACTTCGCTGGCAAGTCTGACATTTTATGGAATGTTAAGGCTGCTGGGTTCTAGTTTTGCTCTAAATTTAACATAAGAAGTAATCGTACCGCGGCTTAGTTTTTGTGGGGATTCCCTTTCTCAATAACTATACTCTTTCTCATTGTGACCTAAAACTCTTAAGAAACTGAGCCAATGAGCCAGAAGTCAGGGTCATTATCTTCCACATTAATCAGTCTTGTCAGCTAAGCCTGAAGTTAAGCCGTTAAACACTTCTTTTCACACCAGAATTCCATCTCACCCATGCATCTGCAGGGTACTTACAACCCACAAAACACCCTGTTCAGCGAATAGAGAATAAATTACAGACACGGGCCTGGCGTACATTTGTTGTAACTCCGCAGGGCAGCTACTTCCCCACAAATTCAAAACCAACAAATTACAGCCATACATGAAGATTTACTAACTACCTAAACCAGAGAACTAAGAAAATGTCTCCACCATCTTGTAACTACAGATGATAACTGATCGGCACATCTTGAAATATATTTTTTCTTGAGCAAATGCTCATGCAGGCAGACTAACTCATAATTTTCATTAATTTTTTTTACAGCTATGAATTACTGAAAATCATCCATGCTGTAAAGGGGATCACCTCGTGCAGTATGAGGATCATCTGTAAACATTCCGCCTCAAGTAGTAATCAATAGGATATAAGCATCCTGCTAAGTACCAGCTGACTCCTCTCTGAAGTACCAGCCTAACAAAACTTCCACCGCGCAGAAATAAAGAAGGCTGCCTATTTGTAAGTGGCTTCCGAAGAATCAGTATGCTGCACTTCCTCAGAGCAGTCACTCCCAAAGCCCCTGGGGACACCTACTTGTCACAGAATAAATTATCTGGCTAATATCCAGCATTACAGTGTACCTCAGTGGGCACCCGGGAGACAGGCATTAGACAGCACTTAGCCTCTTCAGCCTTGCAGGGCAGTCCTTGCATAAATGACTTCACTCAATTGTAAAACGTAACTCAGGCACTGATTTTGGTGCTTTTCAGCAGCACCGTTTCGCCCTAAAATATTTACGTAGCACTGCATGCTGCGTGGTTTTTCCTTCTTTCCAAAAACGATGGTCCCAAAACATGCTGTGCTGACCGTTTTTCACACTTTTTCAGATTTTAAGCTACTTGATGTAAACAGAAATATCAGACCGCTAGCGCGAGTGTTCCCAAACACTGAAATTATTCTGTTTAATGCGAACTATTGTGGAAATAGCTCTCCCACAACTCCAGTAGTAACTCTTCTTCCCTGGCTACTTAACATAAACAGCCAAGTTTGCATCCCACGCGTAGGATACGTACAGAGCAGTCGAACAAGAACACTACAGGCGTGTTCCAGCCCTATGAGCAGAGCTGCTGCTTCTCAGAGCTGCTGCCTCCAGTTCCCTGCAGCAAACCGCGGCCACCGGCAGCCGCAGCACGAGAAACCTGTTGACACAGAAGTTGCAAACCAAACCCAAGGATCCCAGTAAGCAACACAGGGAGGCTGAGAAGAAAATTAGTTCTCCCGCTTGGAATTCGGATATCCAAAGCAGACACGCCGGAGCACAGAGCACTGGAAGATGAAGGGAAAACGTTTTTCACCATACAAAGAGAGACGGACTTTAGAAAATCCGTTCCGTTTTACTAAACTCGCCACAAACCACACACGGCAGCGAGGCACCCTCAAGGACGACGGCCACCTACAGGCTCCGGCTTTCGTAACCGAGGAGCAGCACGCTCCGGACACCGATTCTAGCAAGTCGCACGGCGGACCTCGCTGTTCTCACACACCGGGTCGCCCGCGGGGCTCTGCGCTCCTCTGCAAGGTGAGCACGGCGGCGGCGGGAGGGGGTTCGCGCCAGCCCCGCCCGAGAGCAGCCCCGGTACGGGGCGGGGGACGCGGCGAACGCAGCACGCAGCCCCGTTCCGAGCGCGGCGCCCCGCACGGCGCATCCCGCTCAGCAGCGGCGGCGGCGCACCAGGAGCTGGGTGGCCAGGGCTCCCCCCTACCGCCCCCGTGCCCGGGTATCATCGGGAATTAAAGGCGCAAAAATAACACTGGGGATTGGGGGGGAGGGGGGGGGAGAAAGTTGCGGTAGTCCCCAGCCATCTCCGCTGCCCTCGGGCCGCGGCAAAGGCTGAACTTACGTCTCGGAATTTGTTCCACTGCCCGACCTCCTTGTCGTACTGGGAGATGGTGGTGAGCCATTGTTTATCGTCCAGAAAATTGCCGTTGTCCGCTCTGCCCCCGGCCGCCGCCGCCAGCGCCGGGCTGCACCAGGCTGCCGCGTACACGCACACCAGGGCCGCCGCCTTCAGCATCTGGGCGAGAGGAGACACGAGGAGCGGTCGGTTAGCCACCCGCGGGCGGCCAGCGGGGACGGGAACGGCGCGCCCACCCGAGAGGGGCAGAGATGCGGGAGGGGAAGCGGGGAAAGGGAGCCCGAATCCGCCGGGAAGCGGGAGAGACGGAGGAAGAGGCCGCGGCAGCCGCCCAGCCCGTCACCTTGCCGCAAGCCCCGCAACTGCGCTCCTCGCCGCGGCCGGAAAGGCGGCCCCGCTCCCTGCCCGCGCCGCCGTCTGCAGCCCCGCGCCGCGCCGCGCGCTCCGCCCGCCTCCGGCCCCGCCCCGCGCCTCCCCGCCCCGCGCCCGAGCTAACGGTCTGCGGGAGGGCGCTGAGCGGGGCGGCTCGCGCGGCTCCCGGCTCCGAGGGGGGTCCTGAGGGGGGCCCGGCCCCCTGCCCTCCGTCGGCGTCTTCGGGTTTGCGCCGCTGGAAGTTTTCTCCAGCTGTGCCGGTACCTCGCTTCCCAAATGAAGGCTGCGACAGTCTTTGGACGGCTTACGGTCATGATAAACTTTAAGTGATTTCGGGATAACGCTTCCCGTGGTTGGGGCTCGCCGGTCGCCTCTGAGCGCTGCCTGCTCTATCCGCGTTGTTATCCTCTGTGCGTTCTTCCCTGCCCGCGTGGACTTCGCGCTGCAGCCGTGCCTGGACTCGGACTGCAGGGACGTCTCTTTTTTCTTCCCGAACTAGTTAAACCTAATTGAGAAATGAGCCAGCTGCATAACTAGTTCAGCTCCCTCCGCGGTGTGGCTCACTCCACGTTTAATTTCGAGTTCAATCTGCAGCCCGTTGACCTATTTCACCGACTTCCCCGCATTTGTTCTATTCCCAGGTCCGAGCAGAGCTCCTCTCTTCACATCAGCAACGGGTTCTGCAGCAGTATCTGGGCATCTGGGCCTTCCCACATCCCAGCACCGAGCCAGCTGCCGCTGATGGGGTCTCTGGGAGCACATGGATAGAACCGAAAGTGGAAACAGGGTGAGGAAGGAGTGAATGTGAGGGCAGAGAAAGGAGGAGGCACTGTGATGCTCACTGCAGCCCACACATGACACACATATCCAGAGGAACTGTGGCCTGTGGAGAACTCGTGGTACAGTACCTCTTGCTGGAGAACAGCGGCCCTTGGAGAAGCCATGCTGGATCAGAGGGGCTGCGTGAGAAGGAACCACGGGGAGAAACCACGACTGACTGCGCTCTTCTCCTTTCCCATTCTGCTGGTTTGGGGCTTTGTTTCCAGTGAGGTGGAGCCTAGGTAAGGGAAGAAAGAAACATGCTTACCAACATTTATCTTCTTGTTTCTCACTATCCAGATTAGCAATTAACATTTTTAACTTGCAGCAAATTGTTTTTCTTCAGGCCTTTCTTTGTCTGCAAGAGCAATTGGCAAGCCTCCCTGACTTTGCCTTAATCCAGGAACTGTCTCATCCCTGCACATCCTTGTTCCCTCCTGGTCCTGCTGATGGGATGCATAAGAGACTGGGTGCAAGTCAAGGCTGCTAGAGCTACATGACTGGAATACAGCACTTCTAGCACAGCATCTGAAAGTATCCTTCACAGCAAAAGCAGCTACTTTCAGACCTGAAACTATCTCCATGTCCATCACGACATTCTTAGATTTGATAAGCAGAAATAATGCCACTTCATGTGAAGAGGTGTGAATATGAGATTGTCATTGAGTCTACCAAGTTTTTAGTTTGGTCCTCATCTGGTAGGGAAGTATGAATTGAATCCACTAGCCTGCATCTTACACTACGTAATACGTACCATTCCGTTCCCAAACCTGTGTCACTGAAATCAATGAGAATCTTATCACCGGAGAGATGCAGAGGATGACTGCAAGATTAGGATTTATGTGCCTGAAAGAAAATGCAACGTACCCAGAATAATATTATATTTTCTAATAAATGAATCATAAAGTTCAAAGCAAAGGGATGGAAGGACTGGACAGAGGCTAAATAAGAATCAATAAAACAGTCATGTTGTTCTCAGGGGGGTTATAGAGTCAGTCCCTTATACAATCATTTTCTGACAATCCAGTTTGTGTTTATCAATCTTAATGTTAATTTCCTGTAAGTCCCTTTGCCCTTTGGCAAAGATTTCTTTACTGATGATTTATCCTCTCTCATTTTTATTTTTTTTAACTATTAAAACTTTTAAAGAAGATCCCAACCCCTTATTTTGTGCCTTCATTCACTTAGCAATCCAGGTAATCCATTTTGGTTTTCCTTCATCTGCATTCCACTTCATCAGCTAGGGCAATGTTACTCAGTATTTTTAACTTACGGTGCATCTTTCTGTAGATCTTTTTGAACAACAGGAATAAAAGTGGTTGGGATTTATTTTCATTAAAGTTTCCTAGAAGAGGAAGCTCTGATAGTTTGGGTTTTACAAGAGTTTAGTTGTGATTTATCTAGAAAGCGCTCTTCCACACCTATGACTGCAGCTTCTCCTGACAACACATCCTAAATGATCAATTATACGTAATTTTGCCTGAACCAAGCTATTTGAAGCCTTTAATAATTCTAAATGTATTCCTTATAATTTTAAACACTCTGATCTTCACATAATTGGTTTAAGAGCCTCATTCTGATCAAGGACTTAAGACAAGTTGGTAATTCCACTGCTTCGAGCGCACAAAAAATGATGCTTGATTGAAATGGCATTTTGAAGATGCAGAACTAAGAAGTTTCCTTCTTAATAATTTCACTGCTCTTCGAAGATCTAATTTTTGTATCTCGAGAGTTATTCCTTCCTGTACTTCAAATCTAAGTACAATTCTCACAGAAAGTGTATCTGCCTTGTTACATACTGATGTGCCTAACAATGGTATCTTGAAGATATGACAGGGAATCCAGTTCTGCAGCAGCGATAAGAGAATCATACTAATGGTAACAGTTACATAATGTTAAGCTAAGATCATAGAAACTCTGAGTTACAGCTCTTTTCTTCACTGTACTGTTAAGAAATATCACTGTTATCAGAAAAAAAAAAGCCTTCTCAATTTCAAAATTCAATATATATTTTCCCAGTGTTCAGAAAGACAGATTTTTCAAATATTAAAGCTGGCTAGTTGGTAGAGTCTACAGAAGGATGGCAGGGGAGACGCTGTCACTGGCAATGAACACATCCAAAATTCAGTGATGGTCATAAACACGTGGAAAATGACGGAGAGTGGAAAAACGGGGAGAATACACACAATACCTAAAAGGGTGCTGGAATCTGTAATTGGGATGCCAAGAGCTGCACTGGAAGAAAAGTTTATACGTACATCTCCATGAAATGTGCTGAGAAATTAAGAAATACAAAGAAACTTCCACCCTGGAAAACTGTCTCAGACCCCCCCTCCTGCAAATGAAAGGCGCTAATGCCTGAAGCTCAGGCAAACATAATGATGTGGCCTTTGCAGACAATAAAAATGATGTAAAAATCTCTTGCTGGAGAAAATCTCCAGGGAACATCTAGCCATCCCACAGCCCACAAGCAAAACCAGCTTTAACTTGTCAATCCTGGCATATGTCGATCTAAATCCATTCTTAGACCGTCAGCAGAGTCTGTCAGTGATGGAAACTGCACACTTAATCTATGTCAGTGACTTTACTGGTCTAACTTTAAGACATGTTTTCGATACTTGAAATTAGTTTTTCTTATTGCAGCTTAAGCTTGTAATTTCTGATAGTGAATCCTCTTCACTGTAAACACGAAAAACAAATTGCTATCTTCCTTTGTTCCTTTTTTTTTTTTCATGTTAGAAGCTATTTGATTCTCATCAAACATCTCCTCCCTGTAATGTATTTATTTATTTATTAAACCATATTTTTACCCTATCCTTTCAATTTTACACCATGGTACTGAGATCTCTGTTCACTTCTCTACTGTTCTGTTCCACCTTTCAAATCAGTCCTTCCTATTTCTTCATCATTGGTGCTCTGAAGACTGGAATACCTCTCTTACACCTACCCACTGCTGATTACAGCAGAAGGATTGCTTCCCAAAAATATTTTGGCTTCATATGATTTCTTGTGTCAAATCTATGCAGTCCGCTATGCATCTTCTTGTTATCATCCAAATGCTTAGAAGAGGTGTACTGAATTATCTGGTCCTGTGTTTTCAAGAAACTGAGAGTTGGAAAACAGGAATTGAATTTTCTTGTCCCCTTTTGACCCAGCCTCCTTTTGAAGGCACTTGTTAAAGAACCCTTTTAATTTGCTTTTTTGACAGTTGTCCGGTACCCTACTTGTTCTCCACAGCTTCTCAAAAGCAAACGCTAGCAAATCTGAGACTCTTCCAAAGAGTTGTGTAAACATTCAGTGGAAGAGTTCATAAAATGATGAAGATGATCACATTTTAATAAAAAATTGTAAAACAGAATGGTTACAAAGCCTTAAACTCCTCCTTTTTCCTTGTCACTGCTGTGACAGCTGAGCTAACCAGCTACATGGCTTTGACCTTCAGCATGCAGGTTTGTTTCTTCAGTTTTCTGCTTGCTTCGTTCCTTCTGCACAAAGGACACTTCTCATTCTTTGGCTCTTTTTATATTAATACAGTGTTCATAATGATTTCTCATCAAGTTTGATGAGAAATCAAGGTTACCAGCTACACCTCAGCTTCACCTTGGCTTGTGATACTCGTCTCGAACTGTGTGAAATATTCATCTCCAGTAATATTCTTTGACTTACATCTTCAATTTCAGACCGAGGCAGACCTCAAGAATTTAATACATTTAGACTTCTATGACTTCCCCTATCCTTTTGCTTTTATTGCAAATTAATCCTTAATATTTACCCTTTTGAGTAAATGCTCTGAGATGCTCACTGATCCCCTTTCTTCAGGAATGTAATTAGATTGCTAACCGTCTGTGCATCTCTACTGACACAACTACTGTCAGAAAGCACAAATGAGGATCCAGGCACCACAAGAACTCAGGTGATTAGCAAGAAGTACACATCCATACAGTATTATTGACAGTTTATGTACCCATCAGAATAAGGCATTGATGGACAGGCTATCCAGGATAGGGGCACTAGACCATCTCAAGAAGGGCTGGGCTAATTCCTCACAAGTTTAGAAATGGAAAGGAGGATAGCTGCTCATGGACATGTCAACTCTGCCTGACATCTTATGTCATTGTTCTGCAACTCTGTACAGCCCCATCAATGGAAGAATTAGTGCCTCACACAGCTACGTACTGGGATGGAACTCAAGCTTACACAAACAGAAGAGTTTTTGAGTTTGAGTTCAACATCCAGGGCTTTTAAA